TTAACAATAGAATAATTAAACAATTGATTGCATTTTTAAATTTGAATATCAGAACATGAAATACTTAGGTACAAGCCAATTATACCTGTATATGACAACTTTGCACAGAATTTCGTTTTCAAAAGAATTAGTTTTTTGCATTTACGGTCATTTCATTATTCCATTTTGTGTACTCAGTCGTACTCCAAAAAAGGTAAACAATTTTCAATCATTCTGTAACCGTTTTATTATACTTACGTATTGTAGAACGCTATATAATGCGGCTTATATACGACGTATTTTCCGTAGAGATGGGACAAATTTTGGAATTCGAAAATAAAAATCCGGATTTTGAAAAATTGAATGATTATTCTTTTACATATGATTTGTAAAAAAGTTTTATATAACCATATATATTTCATGTAGTTAATTTTTTAATTAGAATACAGAATTCCACTATGTTTAACTTAAAATTAAGATATTGAAATCCGTCAATCTGAAATTCAGATTTGATTCCCATCACCAGTTTTCCATTTCGGTTGATTACCGTTATCTCGAGAATCATGTCACAATAATAATGCAATTCAAAAACAGTGCCGAACATCACATGGTCTGGTATGTATGCATTTAAGTATTTCTAAACGAACCGGAGGTGACTATCATTGTCCTTTAAAACATTTTATAAGCGTAACAAGTCCTTCGTCGCGGGTTCTTCGTTCGTCCCACATCTCACGTGTCAGACTGATCATCATTTGACTTTGACCACAACCCACGACGGACGACAATAACGCAAGTGACCTTTTGGCGCTAACCACCGTCCGACATGCAGATAAATAGGTACTGTACAGAGTGGTATTGTGTAGATATAATATCTATGTAGTAAGTGGTGTTAAAAAAAAAAAAAAATAACCGGAAAGTGTCACGGGTAAACCTCGGAAGATGTGAAAACAAATATACGACTTTAGAAATATAGATTTATCATGTAGAATTTAAAGTAAATATTTTTTATTTAAAACACGTGATTTCGTATTTTTTTTTTTAGGATAGTATTGAAAATTTTTAAGAATTAAATGTGTTCAAAGAGAGAACGCATTCTATCTTTGCCCAGCCGAGTCATATGATGGGGGCTATCTAACGGTGAGTGAGGTTCGGGGTACGACAACAACCGGCTGCGGCCAGACGGTAATACGTTGTCACCCATACTTTCCTCTCCATGGCCCTGTTTCGAGCTACCGTGCCGCGCCACAGTCTTGATACCCAACCGATAATGTATACACGGAAAATTTTTCAACTATTTGTTGATTAATTACATTTTTGAACATTTCTCAATAGATGGCTCAAACAAAGTACTCGTATTTAAAAAAAAATAAAAACTATGTAAATCGGTCCTGTAGAACTTCAGATAGAGAACTGTTATAAAAATCGCCTCTCTTTTTAATAATATGATTGGTATCGAGCGTTACGCGAAAAAGGTAATGCTCGACAACTTTCACTGTCCAAGCGGAAAAATGTGAACGCTGTGTGAGATGTTTTCACATCAAAAATATCTTAACCCTTTGCTACCTTTGAAAAATAACATCCAATAATAAGGACACGCGTTATGCAGGTCGACGTGGAACGGAAAAGTTACAGAGTAAACCGTAGTAATAGAAGTTAATACGTAACCAGTGTAGTACATCCAATGCCGGCGCTAGGGGAGGACAAATGGGACATTTGTCAAGATATCCGCGCTTGTTAAAGGGCCCCATGATTTTTCATTATCATCTTAATACCGTGAGACACATTGGCATTTTATATCAACAAATTATAAATCTATGCCTATCACCAGTTATAGTGAAACTTCTATATAACGAACTTCCACTTAACGAAATTTATACGAAATATTTTTAAGAACTATGACCTTTATTGTTAAATACACGTACATTTATCTCCAAATAACGAATCTAATGTTTCTGTATAACGAATTAATTATTCGATAAAATTCGGTTTTTTTAAATGTTGTCACTATCAAATTTTAAACATTGTTCTAAAATTATAGATGAACAATTTATCCGATAAAGATAAGACACCGAAGGCAAATTGATTAATTTTACTGCAGTACTTTAGTTTTAATATTGATATGAATGGGTACAAACGAATTTTCTCTTGTTTTCTCTTCGTCCTTACAAAAAAATTTCGAAACGTAAATGTTTATCTATCGCCGATAAATTTGACATTTTAAACGAAGTCGATAAAGGTGTTAAAAAAAAGATATTACCAAAAAATATAATATTCTAACAAGTTCTCTATCAACCATTTTGAAAAACCGTGAAAACATAACCAAGCAAATGAAAAATTCTTCTTTCATCAGCAATAGAAAACGAATAAAAACGTGTGTTTATGAAGAAGTTGACAACGCTGTTCTTAAATAGACGACTTGTATACGAAATAACAATATGCCTATATCAGGTTCGTTAATCAAAGAAAAAGCAATTTATTTTGCTCAGAAATTTGGTTTTATAGATTTTCGTGCAAGCTCTGGATGGTTAGATAAATTTAAATCGAGACATAATATTGTGTTTAAAGTTTTTAAAGTTATTTGTGGTGAAAGTGTTGATGTTTGAAAATGAAATGACTGTGATACGTGGAAATTAAATGTTTTACCAAAATTGATTGAAAAATTCAATCAAAAAAATATTTTTAACGCTGATAAAACAAGTTTATTTTTGAAATGTTTACCAAACAAAACGTTAACTTTTAAAAATGACAAATATTTTGGTAGTAAGCAAAATAAATAGCGAGTTACTGTGATGGTGTGTTCTAATATGACTGGATCAGAAAAACTATTTTATAATTTTTTAAATTTTTTTTATATAACTCACTAATTATTTTTTTTAAATTATAAGATTAAAACCTAAATTAAACTGTAATATAATATTTGATGTTGTTTTTTATATAACACATACAACATTGAAGTACATGTATAAATACATTCATACATACATAATTAAATTGAAAAAAAGTTTAAAAAAATATGTAATTCTATTTAACGAATTTCTCCATATTACAATTTTTTTTTTGTTGTTTATTCGACTTTGTTATGTGGAAGTTTTACTGTATTTGGAAAATGATATCTAAATTTAGCCATAGTACAAAGTAAATCGTTATCGATACGATGAAAGCGTAATATTTTGACGAGTAGGATTCCTACAATAAATAATAATATAAATATTTAATATCTCTATAGTTATTGTTTAAAATTCAATGAAAAACAGTATTTTTTTAAAAAAAAAACTAGAATTTTTCCCCTTTCTGGGGACCTAAAGGCTAATATCTATGTTCAGGGCCCCGTAATACCTAGCACCGGCACTGAGTACACCCGAGCACGTTAAGTTATTACTGTATATTATGCGTAAAAATATTAAAATTAGACAGTAAGCAATACGAATTGATAATTATAACCCTATTGAAAATTGCTGCTATTATCATTTATATATGAGTTATTTTGTTTTTTATTGTATTTTTATTCCATGTTACAACTTTTTATGTATATTATGTGTTAAATATGTCTACGATAAATAAATAAATTATGCTTATACGTCTATTATAACATTACCGGTCGTATGAACGATTATTCATCGCGGTTCATTTGAATAGAACACGACGGGACATCCGATTCGGTTCCAAAGAACGCATTAGAACTCAAATTATTGTTTCACTACGTAAGCGCTTATTTTGTAGTATTTTTTTCTCCATATTATATTTTTAAGCGCACGAACATATTATTATTATTATTATTATTATTACTATTATTGATGTGTAGCGAAATGTAGCGAAATCGATTTTCGACTTTCCACGAAAACTACTTAAACGCCGTCACCTGGTATTTCGTTTTAAGAACAAAATTCCTTTGCACCGGTTAATTTTACATATTTGTTGTTATAAAAGCGACTAGTGTACAGAAAAACCACAGTAGACAGTGGAATTTGCGCCTATCCGTGTCCCTATACGTCCTTACGATAATTTAATATAGTAGCGTGGTGAGCTTAAAATACCGATGAGATACGTGAGTTTTCACCGTAAGACCAGCCCTTCAACTGCTTAATAGCACAAATTATTTACAGTGGCTTATTCTTATATGATTTTAGTGTTCTATAAAATATAAAGTACGGCTTCAAAATTAAGATTCCCCCAACTTAAACTGTACTTAAAAACGAGATACATGAATTATGCTGCTTGAACGGCCGTTACGGGGAAACAATTCGCATACGAGTTTATGAAAATACTTATTGTCGTCCGCGTAATCGAATGACAGTATGGATTCAAATCATTAATAAGACGTGTGTATTGTACGCGCGCTGATGAAAACGCTCATACGATACGTGTTAAAACGCAACTATCTTTTGTATTCACTTATACTTATCAATGTGATAAGTTTTGACACTATTCTATTTTTGTCACACCTTCAATTTTAAAATCTTGATCCTTGTACTATTTACGAGGAAAGATGAAGTTGACTTTGTATCTCAATTATTAATAATCCTGTGTTGTCATATTGTCATGGTAAATATAACATACGAGTATACGATAAGTTCGACTTTTAATTTTAAATATTCTCCTATAGGATGTGTAATATGTATTATTTAGTAATACCTTTAAGTTCTTGATTTATATTGAGTAACGTGTAAAGAGAAGAACTATACATAACACAGAACTTGTAGTATTAATATGTATCTAATATACCTGGATTTAATATTTATCTTTAAACTATATATTTGTGGGACGGAAATTAGAAATTAACAAGTGTATTTAATCCGTTTTCGTTGATGATGTCGGTAATACTTGAAAGTTTTAACAGACTGTTCCGAATATTCGTAGGTCGAGAACATGTTATTTTAAAAACAAAATATGTTTGGTAAACTTTTGCGTTTTTCATGAATAATAATTTTTACTGTTTTCATTCATGATTTCATAATAAACCATTAATTTGTGTGTTGTCAGTCAGTGCCGTCTTTCTCTACCGCTTAATCAAAATTAACATGTACCGTAAACGTAATAAATTTTTATTTTTCCATTCAACTAACAAATTTATCGAATCGTTTTGGCGGGCACTAGGGTGATCGTGAGCATAACAACGCAACGGCAAAGCGAACCCACGTCGACGCGATAATACAGCGTTCGTAATCCTATACACGTGTTAAGCGTCACGCGAAGTTATTGTACAACAAAGACGCATTATTGAATCGTGTTGGACTGAACGAAACTAACAGAAAAAAAAAAAAAAATCGGGTGCGTTCGCGCGCGTGTGCGTGCGCGTGTACGGTAGATGCGCAGCGACGAGTCTTTGATCCGGCGTGGAGAATTCCCTCCGGACGGTGTCGAGTGGTTACGGTGTTACGCCTCGTGCGACGTCGTCGTTGCCGAACATTTACCATAGCGCAACATCGCCGCTCGTAAACGCACCGCGCGCGCGCACGCGCACGTCCCCGCAGACGGGTCGGGGGGCGGGGACATCGCGCCGCCGAGCCGCACCCGCCGCCGCTCTATATCGACACTCTTTTCATCGAAAGAACGGGTGGTTCGGACGGCGGACTGTTGTACACCACGGCGGCCGCGGCCGCGGCCGACGCGGCGGCCCGTTCCGCGGGCCGCATGTCCCTGTTGTAGTCGTACTGCACCGGTCCCACACACGTGCACGAGCACACGGACACCTGGTCCACGTCGTCACCCGCGTCCCGGGCGATCGTGTGTCCGGCCAACAGTTTGCCGTTCACCGACGTCACCGCCTCGCCGTCCACCGTGATCACGTGCTGGGAAACGCCTTGCAGCTCGTTGTCCTCGCGTCGCACTTCCTCCGCGTTCCTGTAAGAACACCGTAAAACGTTATGGTCACATCGCGTACTTGAAAAGGTTTCAATAAAATTTCGATCGAATTAAATAATCCAACCACGCACCGGCCAACGCGTGAAGTGTAATTTATACAACGCATATACTTATAAGAGTATTTTATGGACCACTGAAAGTGATTCGCGTTCACAAGATAGCTATAACGCTTACGGCGTTTTAACGGTCTAATCGAATCGGATTGGGATTAGAAAGATTAAGTGCAGATGGTGCGTGATGCGTTTCGATCGGGACGCGTGGTAAACGCAGGTGTGACAAAACCGTTTAATATTGAGCAATTAATCGATAAAACGCGAGACCGATATTGGAAGTATTGGACACCCCTTTGTTGTCTCGCATATTACTTATTGCTTATTATATTACTTATTACTTATATCGTTACGGATTGTATTTATATTCTGTTTTTCAGGTTTTCAGGTTTCAGAATTGAAAAAACAATTAATACATTAAAAAGCTAAATTATCCTGATCGAAATTGATCGTAAACATCGCACGTTTAAAATCACTACGACGCACATCGCTTTCAGCGGTAAAGCACGTTGTATTACATCAACGTTTTTTATTATTTACATAGGTTTTTTAACGGCCGCGAATCAGTTAGACAAACGGAAAAATTAAAAGCATCGACTCACAAAATGATTAAAAAGTTAACTACAAGTGTAAGATTATGCAAAACAATGAAATTTTAAATATACATTTTTCTTTGATGTTATCGGCTGCCAAATATCAAACAACCAATCCAATTCAAATGTATTTTTGTTCATACATATCAATTGGAGTATATAAAACTTATACTAAAATAAATATAAAAATAAATTCAATGAAGTTTGTAGCAATATAATAATTTTTAAAATGTAGATTTTCTTCACGAAATAGATATTCATCTTTTCACTACGTATTTGGGTGCGGAACGTTAATTTGGAAATGATTATTTCTAGCCGTTGTCGAAAAACTTGTCAAAACCGGTTCTACCGCAGTTAAATATTTCTCTCGGTTACCTATAAAACTGTTGAGGATATGAGTAATATACATTTTTTTTATAAGCAGTTCATGCCAGAGAATTATTTAAAATCTCTTGTTAATCATAACAATAACTTTTATTTTTATAATTGTTTTCTTTGTAATTGTTTAAAGTCTTTGGTTCACGCAAAAATAATCATTATAGTTTTACATTTATTACCTATAAACTCGATTTCTAACCCTCCCGTCATCAATAAAATACCAAGGACGGTAAACTCATGTAACTAGAAGTCCACTTCGTAGAACTATAAACTCTGGCGGGCCAAACAGAATCAATACAATAAAATAAGTACCCAATACATATAGCTATATTAGCTTTTCCGATATGGATATACATAATATTATATTTAGGCATTTAATAGTTTAACTACAGTTTAATTCTAGATAATACCTACATTTTACGATCACCGTAATAAAATGTAATACCGATAAACGCTAAATTTTTATGAAGTAATTTTAAAATGTAGCACGGGCGAGATAAAAAGTATGCGGTCCACTCCATCCATCGCCCACCCATATAAAGTATTAATGGATTTATATCTCTACGTATAGTTACAAAGCAGTCGTCTCGATTTTTCACGGATCGCGATCGCGATTTGCATAGTTATTTTAGGCAGAACAAGTATTCATGTTTCTTTATATACGTACGTAAAATGCACATATTATACTAACAATGTTTGATTAATACATTTTTTGTATTGATCATCAACCGAATTTCTAATACTGTATAACCGTAAGGATCACATCGCTCTCTGTAATAACTTCCACGTCACTTTTAACCCGCACCCCACTAACCCATTACCTAAAAATGTTGTTCGACCACAAAATATAATAATATTTATTTTGTATTTTTATTGTCACCCAGCAAATCACGTAGACACACACACCGCAACAGTATAAAACCAATACACCCCGAATAACCGTATTATACGAGGTATTATATATATTATATTGGCTAGTGAAAATTTAATCTCAGAACCTCGAGGCGACCTATAATATTTCATTAATATTTATTATTACTTTTATTATAATTATTATATTTTATATTTTTTATTTACGCGTATTTGGACTGGGTTCAACGGACTGTTGATTTGAATTCTGATTTGAACCCGACGAAATGTCTTATCCCTTTTGATAGCATCCAGACACTTGTCGTTCGAGCGGCCTTTACGTGTAATCTCAAAGCTGTAACCGCCGATTAATTGTCTCATGGGAATATCATTGCGTGCAGTGCACGTTGTGTTTGTATGTAATGAAGAAACATTCCTCGGCTCAGACGTTTGCTTTCCAAAAGTGAAGGATGAATTCTCCGCCGTAGGCAAACGCAAACAAACAATTCGCAATAAATTTCTATATACGAGTATATATACATGAATATACTATCGTTATGTAAAGTAACATTCGCAATACAAATTTCAAGTGATCCTTTGCAGGCTCAATGAGTAAAATAATGTTCTCTTGGACGTGCTCTGTGCACGGCGTTGTATAAACGTAAAAAAAAAAAATACATCAAATAGCATCATAACTAGGACTCGGATTTATATGTATTTATGAAACCAAAATGTGTACATACATATGTGCTAAAAACTCAAAATATGTATTTTACTAATGTGATTTATTTATTAATATTTAATTATATAATATACTCATATGAGTTCTTAATGAAATAAATTATATTTCAAATAATAATATGATTAAAAATAGGTAGATATTAAAAATCATAAATTATAAGTAACAAAAGCAAAAAAAAATAATTATTAATTATCTTGATTACAATTTATGATAAAATGCATTTTTAAATTTTTAAATTCAAAGGATCATGAATTTGGTCGTAAAACTGCCTTATACCGACTAAATGATGTTTCGACTTCAACTGATGTTATTGGATGGTATTGCATTTTGATATTACGATAAAATATTATTCAGTTGATAAAATTGTGTCAATAAAATATATTGTCAAAATGAACTAAATATGTAAGAAAAAAATGAAAAAAACATATATTATGAATAATTATATAAAAATATGTAAAATTAAATACAGCTCATTTAATGGAAAATCACGTAAAACTAATTTATCATGTCGCAGGGAAAATATTTATTTAGATAATCCGAGCCCTAATCATAACGTTTCCCCGAATTAAATCGTATGTGAGTAATAACTTAAAATTGATAATGCTTTAAATTCACTTTGTCTAGATTATTTTTCGTATACGCGTTAGATGTTAATATGTATGCGGACATACGAATAATTAAATTAAAAGATATAACATTTATATAACATTTCGTAGCCAATGTGTCAAACACGTTCTAGTTTAATAATGTTACCCGAGTTGATTTTTTTATACACACATTTTCCATGCGTACTTTATAAAATTAAATTTCGAAAACAACACAGAATATATGTTTTTTATTGAGGTCACGATTTCCCAGTAATTGACATTTTCCCGCGTTTTTTTATTCATTAATTATTTGATATCCATTCAAAGGTACTATAATAATTTAGTGCACCTATGTGTTATTAATATGCGCGCATTTATGTCGTTGAATATTTATGTACGTGATATATACATTTATACTGTAGATGTTGGTAAGAAACTGCTGTCATTTTCGTCTTCATTTAATATATGACGCTTACAACGCCATAGAACACATATTCGTAGTTATGAGAAAATATGTCCTCCGACTCTGAATTTATACGAAAAATATTTATTGTGCATGAGAAATAAACGAAAATGGACTCTTTTGATGTTTGCTGATTATCTACATACGGTTTTAAAAACCGACGACTTCAAAATGATTTACGATGATAACAATAGAACTATCTCAGTCGGAAACGTCACGTTCTCGCGTACACGAATTATATACAGTTTATTTCACAATGGGTTTGTAATGGCAGTTGATTGAAAGAACAGTTCTTGGAATTATACACATGTATGTATAGCAACGATGTTTGTATATTATACATGAGCAGACACGGGCGGAGAATAATCAAATAATGTCCGCAGTACAAACAGTCGAACGCCTTTAGAAGAAATACGTTGCTTGTAGGTCAAATGCGTAACAAATATTATTTTGTTGGTATTATCTACGAAATGATCAGCATCCAAGGACAAAAACTATATCTACACCCTACCCAAAATAAGAATAGTTGTCACGACCCTGGGCGAAGCTAAAAATAGTAGGCGACTCTTTTTTTTGTTAACACATTTCTACAAAACGATCGTTCTTATACTTGTGTTATTTTATATTTATGGTTTCCAACATTCCAAAGACGACTTATTTTGCAGCTATATTGAGTTCCAGATGGTAGGTAGTATGATATGTGAGAGACCTTCGACTCGAAATTCTTAGAATCCACCCCGTCGTCAAGTTAAACTATAAATTTAGAAACCTGAACAATACAATCAGAATCGTAGCCTTAAAAACAATTTTACACCCTCTTCTTTTATGCCGCTCCTTGACAAATGCCACTTAGGTTGACATGAGTTTCAGATTTAAAACACAGCAATTCTCGAAACCATATACATATATATATATATATATATATATATATATAATACGAGTATATATATGTATATACTATATTTTATTATAAATACAATATAAACGTTTAGTTGAATGGAATAAAACAAGAGAATTGAAATCATTCTAAACTACATATTATATAAATTATTAATATATTCAAAATCATAATCAGTGGCGTCGAAGTGGTTAAAAAATGTTCGGGTAGACTAGATAAAATAACGTTATGCAACACTTATCCTACAAAAAATTAATCTGCTGACCATGTGTATCACTTCGTGTGACTAGGTTAATTTTCGAGTCATTAGTTGTAGTAATTTCACAAACGGTTTTATGACAATCCCAATTAGTTTAATTTAAACTATTTCTTGTTCTGTTGCAAATACATATATTTTTTACGTAACGAAATCGTTTTCA